TCCTTTTACTTTCCTACTTCACAGTTAACATTTCCTACTTGAGTAGAAATGAAAACAAAACCAAGTGCCTTATCAGCCTAGAATAATAAATGCAAGTTGGCACCGCTGCTTTCCTTGGCAACTTGCCATTTTTCCCAGTTTGCTGACTGCTGCTGATAGAATCTGAAATTTAAACACCCATGAACCTTTTTTCAACTGCAACAAGCTGCATGTGCTCAACTTTCCACATCTAAATGCAAAAAAGGGGCTGTGCCAATGACTGAGAGATATAATCTAGGGTTTTTATAACAGGGGTTTGTGTCAGGCATAAGGCCCAGAGCTGCATCCTGTCCTCCAAGGGTATTCATGTGGCCCTCAAGGCAACACACATCCAGCAGTCGCTACTGCATTAGCCATTCTGGCTGTTGCTACCATACCAATCACTTGCTGAAGATTAGCTTGCTGCTCTTTTATCCTGAGCAAAAGTAAAGTAACACAAGGGGTACAGCAATGGATAATCCCAAAGACAAACAAAATTGCTGCAGATGTGCATACAATTAGAAAATAGTTGGCAATAGTTGTTCTATATTATTGCCAACTATTTTCTAATTGTATGCACATCTGCAGCTTTTATCCTGAGCAAACATGCCTATGTGGCCCTCACTTCCATCCTTTTCACACAGAAACACTTGCTCAGGGTGAGACAGCACCCTACTATACATTTGCTTCCCAAGCCTGGGCAAACATAGGCAGCTTCAAGAAAGGATTGGATAAACATATGGAGCAGAGGTCCATCAGTGGCTATTAGACGCTGAACTGCAGGCTGTGGAAGGTCAGTAGTTCAGCAGTTCAAGACCCGGGTGCTGCAAGACGGGGTGAGCTCCTGTCTCTAGTTCCAGCTCCTGCCAATCTAGCAGTTCGAAAGCAAGAAATTGCAAGTAGATAAATAGGTACCACTTCGGTGGGAAGGTAACAGCGTTCTGTGCGCCTTGGTGTTTAGTCATGCCGGCCACATGACCACGGAAATGTCTTCGGACAGCGCTGGCTCTTCGGCTTTGAAATGGAGATGCGCACCGCAACCCTAGAGTTGGATTCGACTGGCTTTCGAGCAAGGGAACCTTTACCTTTATAGATGGAACACTATGTCTGGGGCAGCAATGCTCTGTAGTATTGGTGTATTCTTGGTGCTTGGGGTGTAACAGAGGGAGGGCTTCTGGAGTTCTGGCCCTGCTGGTGGACCTCCTGATGGCACTTGAGTTTTGGCCCCTGTGTGACAGAGTGCTGGAGTGGATGGGCCATTGGCCTGATCCAACATGGCTTCTATTATGTTCTTAAGTGACTGGTATAGTGGCAGCAAAGTACTGAATGGATGGAGACAGGCAAGATGCATGGCAGCTGGGCACGGGCTCAATGGTACAGTGAAGCAACTCCTGCAAAGCTCTGTGTGTGTGTGTGTGTGTGTGTGTGTTGCTCACTTCTGGAGACTTCCTCTTGGCCTTCTTTTCCCCACTTATCTGTACTATGAACATCAGCCACTTTCGTCAGGGGCTGCAGCTGAAGTCTGGGCCTGTCTACTTCTGTAGATTTGGGTGTGATGCAAGAAGTATTAGTGACTGTGATTTGGGAAATGGCAGAAGAACTCTAAAGTAACTAGGGAGGTGACTGTGAAGTTGCCTGCTCCTCAAAAAGGAGCCAATGGAAAATAGACAATTCTCTGAAGTGGAAATTTCTTTTTTGAAGAAAGGATTCTCATTTGTACCCGCCCCTAAGCATGATGATTTTAAACTTAAGATAGAAATACAACACCTTTTTAGAAAAATATTAGCTGATTTTAAAAAAAAACTATCCAAATCATGATACAGGACAAAATGTAAAATCTGAACCCAAATCCACCTTTAATCCACCCTCCCCAAACCCTAGGATCTTAGCCTTCCAAGAACTGGTATTGGAAAACATAGATAAATTGTATAACACTGAAAATAAGATTTGGCATAATTTCACTAGGGCAGAAAATGACTCTCTCAAGAAAATAACATCTCTGGAAGATTTTGTTTTTAAACCTGCAGATAAGGGAGCTGCATTGGTTATATGGGATTGCGGTGATTATATAGTGGAGGCTAATAGACAACTGAATAATACCTCACACTATAGCCTTAGTAGGGAGGATCCTATGTCTGTGGTTAAGAAAGAGA